GCACAGTTATTGACAAGGCATATGTGTAGAAAACGAATCGTCATGACGTGTACGTCAACATTGATGTTGCCGTGGTAACCGAGTTTCGAAAGTCATGTTTTTGTTTTCAAAATTTGAATTTTTTTCTATGTTATACATACTGTGATGTTTTTTATTTTCCATTCTGGGATAAGCAATCTTTTATGAATTTAATGTATGATCCCATTAAGACTCACGAAAAAAACATCATCCTTCAGCATCACTTTAACCCTGTTGGGACCGGTGGCTTTCCTCACTAAATTATGGAATAACTTCAAAACTGTTTAAGCTGTGACTTCGAAACTCAACGACTTTTCCTAAAATTTATCTGGGGACATTTTAAAGTCGCCGTCATTTGACGTTACTATTAACGTTACCTTTCTATTCGGTTGATTTTAAGGCATCGGTTCTTTTCTCTCTCAGATCGCTAAACGAAAACCTTACAGAAAACAAGGTATGAGTTGTTAGTAACAAACGAGACGCTGGTCAATTCCCGTCGTAAGAATCGAGCTGGTGTTGGCTCTCAAATCATTTTGTGCAGTTAAACTAAAAACTACTGTCCTTTTCATAACAAATGTTGCTGAAGAAAACAGTCGCGCACCCAGGAGAACTGAGATTTACACCGGAGAGCCCACATATCATGCGAGCGTACAACACGATTATGCGCGCGGATAATATTTACTTTGAAGTTAGACGGACTCAATGGAAATTTTCCATTGGTGGTCCTAAAGGGGCAAAGAGTGAGAATTGGGATTTGCGGATTTTTAGATAAGGTAATTGGGATACAAGACCAGCGATTTTGCAGGCTCCACCTTTCACTCCAAATACCCTTTACATTAAGAAAGATGCATTTTAGTCAGTGACACAGGAGGTCTGGAACAAAACCTATGACCTTCTGCATGGTTAGTAGCCCAGATGCTTTACCACTGAGCCACAGGAGACTCATGGGAGCTAAGGCTACTAAACTAGGTTCATGAGCCAAAGCCTTTTCATTATTTTCTGATTGCTAACATGGGTAAATATACATTTTAAGTAGGAGGCTTCAAAAGTGCTCGAGACTTACGAAATGTTTTTTCTGTTCGTTTGCGTTCACTTGCTCATGTTGTCAGATGTTTACCATGGACCTCAGAGCAGATCTAAGCGCACGGCGCCGCCATATATGAAGAACTGGATTAATACTGGAGTTTAGCAGCACTTACGTTGTGGACCACAAGTAAAAACTAGGATAAAGGATGCCAAATGACTGAGAAACGAAAATAACCACAAATTTTGGAATCACACAAATGGCAAGAACAACAGAAACAATAAACATGTCCATGGCAACTTTTTTTTCGCATCATAGAATTCCTTGCAATTGCTGCGATGAAAACATGTCTTCCACTTTACGGTTGTGGTAAGAACAGCTTTAAAAATTATCATAATTGGCAGTTGGCTATGGAGGAATGGTGAAAATAGGACCAATCATTTCTATAAGAATTAAAGCAGCAACTCGGGGTAGAATACAAATAAATACTGTTGTTGTAATCCAAGCCAATGTGGTGAACACAGCAATCTTATTTTATGGCTCCCGTGTAAAATTAAAAATTATAGCTTTAACGAGGTCATTAAAAGTCCATTGATTTAAACTAAAGTCTATGGATGAAAACAAAAGTAAAATAACTTAGATAGAAAAGGAAAATTGTAACAATTGTAGCAATGTTAGCGGAGTAATGGACGACATTAGCAGCTATCATGCTAGAAGCATAGCAAGCATCTGCCATAAATACATCGGCCACGTCACTAACACGGTTTAAACTTTGATTGACAGATGACGAATGGAAATGAATTTATAAATATAATACACATGTTTTAGAACAGTGAGGGTACGCTACGAAAGATTCCATCTCAAAAATACTTCCTATCGAACAAGGGGTACCCCAGGGTTCACTTGTGGGTCCAATTTTATTCACCATCTATGTTGATGCCAAAATGTATGTTGAAAAATGTATGTTGATGATTGTTAACTGTTTTTCACTGAAGGTATCAGATTCATCTAACGCCATCTCAGCTGTGAACAGTGACTTAATTCGTATTTAAAAGTAAATGGTGCTCTAATAATTCTTATATCGCTATATCGCTTACAGTACAAAGTAAAGCTTTACGGAAATGGAAATAACGCAACGATGGCGCATTTTTTTTCCTTGTATTTAGCGTGAGAGAAAATTCACAAGAAGTGAACGTTAAAAATTGCAAATGTTATTGCAAAAGAACGGGGCTCTGGCCTGTGGTTCCATCGGAGTTCTGAACATTTTGACGCCATTTTTATGGTCTATTCGAGTGTATACAGAGCACAGAGCAGAGCAGAGCACCATGAGTAAGAAAATGTGGTAAACTACCCATCCGAGAAAATTTGGTAATCATGTGACCGTACACCGACCGACCGGCCGCCCGACCGAACGTCCGTAGGCACCACAGGCATACCAATGTAGCTTAATCAACAGGTATGGCAACCCAAATGCAACTCGAGGTTATTTTGACGGGAAGTTGCATAGCTACCTGCGTCTTGTGAAGCAGAGACAACTTAGGGGGTGTTTATATGACACCGGGGCAACTTCCGCCCCGGAGCGAGTTCACTGACTCCGGTTCCCTCTCCTGGCTCTATAGTTGTTTACATTACACCACCACAAAATGTCATGTCGGCGCGAGTCACCCTGGCGTGAGTTCACTCCGGTTCTTGTACCGGGGCGAGAATTTCACTCCGGTACAAAATCTCGCAACGATATCATGTAAACGCGAGACGACCACCCGTTTCGGTGTGAAATCGGTCTGCCGGTAGACTGGAACGGGTATCGCATGCCTAGTGTTTGCGATTTTGAATCACACGTGTATTTTACCTACATGAAGTGTACTATCAAATAACGAGATATGAAATGACCCAGTCATGATGTAAACGCGATACGAAATCAAAAACTCATCCCGGTATGAAACTCGCGCCGTTGCGAGTTTTCTCATGTAAACACCCCCGAGTCAATGAAGACCAAAACGGAAAGCGGAAATTGTCTCTGTATCCGTGTTTTCTAAGTATTAAAGCTTAGATTAATTGTCATGTCCACAAATTTGGAAAATATAGAGCAAGAGAAAGACCGAGAAAAAGAGAAAGTAGGCGGCTGGCCAGCGAAGCTCAACGAGAAAAAGGGCTACAGAGATCTAGAGCGAGAGATAAAAAGCAAAGGATACATTTTTTGTTGGAAGAACAACATGAAAATTTTGTAGCGGCGGTAACAAAATGAGAAATGCTAGCGGCCACCAATGCAAGGTGAAAATGAGCGGCAGTGAAAAAAAACGTGAACGAGAAAATGTGCAACATTTCCTCCATAAAACGTGTAACTAAGAAGTTTCTGGAGATTTCACGTTGAGGTCGTGCAAAACAACGGCAAAGAAATATACAAAAAAGTGTGCTGCACGTGCAAAGTTGCTTTTTTGCTAACTAGACCTATTGCTGTTTTTCACCGTTCTCCGGCGTTGCCTCCACCGCTTAGCATTACACGATTTTATATTTTGTTTGAGCAAACTATAAATATTATCGAGGGCTTAAATTGTTAAAGCGAGTTTACTGGAGGATTCGGTGACTTGAACTTGAGAGAGAGAAACATCACGATATCTATGTTTCCGTCCAACAACTTTCAACACCTCAAAAGTAAAAACAGAGAAGCAAACACTTTTAGGTAAAAAGATGATAAACATATAAGTCACCAAGAGAAAAGTTGCTTCATTAACTTCTTTATTTTCGTGTCAACCAGTGATAATACAAGCCAATGACGCAGATTTACATTCAAGTCTTAAAAACCTGAATTTAAAATATGTCCCCAAATATATCTATCTAAACCAGCACCGAAACGACATATTGAAGCAAAAACCAAAGGGGTGGTTCCTCTTTGGAAAAGAAATTGAAATGAGTGTGTTCGACTGTTCAGTGCCACTTACATTAAGACAGGGGCACCCGAGGACCGAATGTTTCCAAATAAGTCAGATTTGTCTCAAATGATCTCTCTATGCTTTAGAGGCCTTCTTAGTTAATTTGGAGACCTATGTTTGTGTTTGGATATGTTAGGCGAACTTTTGTCGTCTCAAAAGTTTTAGGTGGCTTTTGGTCTCCTCCGAAACTGTTACCCATCCTGATGGGTCCGGTCGAAAGTTCAAAGACACAGAGTAGTCATACTTTATTAGAGGATTCTAGGGCGAAGTTTTGTCTTTATACCGAAATGTTCAGGAGACCGATTTTAGATTTTAACGATTTTAGCCTTCAGTCGAGCTTAAGCAATTTCTTGACAATATTTGCTCCTAGTTGGGTGCCCCTGATAAGAGTGAGTTATTAAGATAAGAGTGAGTTATTAACAATTATTCCTCGAGCCCGAATGGGCTCTTAGTCAATAGCCCATGAGGCTGAAGGCCGAATGGGCTATTGACTCAATGGCCATGAGGGCAAGAGGAATAATTGTTTTAGTAAAATCCAACTAGTTGGTCAAAAATATCATGACAAAACAACTTTAGCTAGCAAAACGCGATTCAGCCGCCATTGTTTTGGTTTTCAAAGCCGGCGCTTTTTGCTACTAGTAGGTTGTAACATATAGCCTAGTAGTAGCTTAGCCAATCAGAATGCAGCATTGATAATAGACCGCTAGTTGGATTTTACTAATAAAGAACATGCCTGATCAGTTTAAGTAATTATTGCATCGATATTCACATTCAAAGAAATGTCAAAAACGAGACTAAGTTGTACTGAATACGTACTGCGAATTAAACATATCAATTTTTAAACGTAGGTTTTGAAAATAAGCTTTATGTAAGAACAGTTTTACTGATAATCGATTCGATCAATTCCAATTTCAACCCTTTTCAAAAGCACGCCCATGGGATTTCAAACCAAATAACTATATTGCCTTGATTATGATTGTCTACAGGCCACCCAAAAAAAATTATCGTTAGCAACAATGCTGATAAGGTTACTTAGATTGGCAAGGTCCTTGGATTTTCTGCACTTTTCCACTTCCCTGAAAGTCAGCCATGGACATAACGTTCCCCTCTCCGGCAGCGCACGACTTGAATAGTTCGGAGATATCTTGGTCACTCATGGCATAATCCCAGACACTGAAGCCTGCCATTTTCCCCACGAAGGTAAATTTGGATTCAAAAAAACCTGTGTGACCGGGGAGGTAACATTGTCCGAATACCAAGTTGGCTTCGTTGGTGTCGATTGTTGCTGTGTAAAGGAAAAGTTTAAGGTGAAGGCTATTATTATTATTACTTTTTTCTTACATCAGAGAGATTTTTAGAGTCATGTCGAATGAGGTAAAGGCTGAAGAATTCAAATGAACAGTAAACGGAAAAACCGTTTGTGATGCTTGACTCTTGCAACAAGAGAAGAGTAATTTAGAAATTGATCCTTCTTAGGTTGTTTTCTGTTTTGTGTTTTCAAAAACGTTAAGTCTTACCATTGTCTTACTTTAGGGTCCTTTAGATCCAAGCCATACGCATACCGTATGTCGGCTGCGTTACCTGGCTACAATAATTAACTGATTTCAACGGCGCGCTTGAAATAGCAGTGAGCAAGAGTTGGCCAGCTCCGAAGTACTTTAAAAAAGGTTTCTGCTTAGCCCCCCACATTTGTTATGCATTCAGTCAACTGTCAAATGCAGTCAAGTGCAGATATCAACTCTAGGCGTCCCTTTTAGCAAGGTGTTCGTCTTATAGTAAGGTGTTCGTTAATTAAAAGAGAGTTGCCTGTAGACCACACTACTAAACAAGCATTTTACAATAGGGTGGCACAAACTGTCCTGGCGGAATCCCACTACGTAGCCACAACGTCTAATGTCTCGACTACATCTATTGAGACCACACAAAAACATTTACCTTCGGCGACGTTCGAGTTGGCACCGGTAGCAAACGAGCAAGCCGTACAAGGCACTGTCTTCATTGGACAATACTGCAACGCGATCGGTGCCGATGGTATTCCTGTCAGGCTTTTAAGATTGCTTCTGGG